CAACCTCCAGCCTCTGATCAACTCTAGGGCAACCAAGTGTGAGGTGTGACGGACCTGTGTGCAACCATGGGAAGGTGGACCCTCTTGGTTACCTTGACTACGACGCTCACCCTTACAGGACCCCAGCTGACGCCAACAACAGCTGAACCATGAGGCAGACAGGACGCACGACAACTCCCACCTAAGAGACATGACGCAAGACCACATACACCCTTGGATGAACAATGCCTGGTCCCGTTATATCTAAGACAGGACCAAGGCGGAATCGGCAAATACAGACTGTTATGTCTGTTCTCATATGCCCAGCACATCAACACACCCCACACTATATGGTGAATATATGAACAACACTCAAGCAAAGTGTGCAGCCAGCTTCGCTGGCATTGGATTCCAACACAGCCGAATCATCACCAACGACACAATCCCGCACGCTGTTGGACTTAGTAATGGAACATGTGATCAACTCTTCTGGATCGACGTGACAAACCGGAATACATCCATCCACTTCCCAGTGTTTCTGGACCAACTCCCAGGGAGGAACCACTCCATGTGTTATCAACAAGAGAAAGGTAACACACCCGTTGGAAACACGACAAACTGTGTCCAAACTGCAGGCCACGGAGAGGGTGCTCCTGTGAATATGAGTGGACCTTCTAACAGCATGTACTGGGTGCAAGGAATGGCCTGGCTATGTGGACAACGGCCATATTTCATACTGTCCCCAGGCTGGACAGGAACATGTGCTCCTATATTCCTGTCAGACCACACTTTTAGGATGACCGCAGTAAACACCACTTCTACAGCATGCCGGAATAGAAGATCTACGTTCCCCAAACTTCAACCACATGACCCAATATGGGGAAGCAACGTACCCGAGGAATTCAAACTGTGGACTACCGGACAGAAAGTACTCCACACATTGTTCCCCTGGGTGGGAACTGGAAAAAAACATGCTGAGGATCGAGACTCTGGACTACCGCTTTGGACTCTTCTTGAATGCTTCGTGCAAGATCAACGATCAGCAGAATCAGGAAATCAATGCATTACGGATCGCAGTGATGCAACATCGAGTAGCTTTGGATATGATACTAGCAGAGAAAGGGGGACTTTGTGTCCTCTTCAACAACGCCTGCTGCACTTACATACCAGACAATGTACAACAAGATGTTACATACTGATATCTCACTTAAA